GCAGATCAATATTTGCAAAGCATTCCATTCCAGGGAAAAAAGAAAGTATAAGAGTTCAAGGCACTGATGTCTGGAACGGCTGAAATATATTATTTAGAATGTGGAGTGTGATGAGGCTGAGTAGACCTTGAGAAGCATTTTAAAAAGTGTACATTTTATTTAAAACTATTTCAATGTTGAAATTCTTAAATTGGTTTGGAATTTATAAAGATAAGTTTTTTTGTACTCTAAAGAATAAACTAGGAAAAAACATGTTCTTACAACACAGGTGAGAAACAATTCAGCCTTCTGCCTGGAGTGGTGCCAGTAGAACTAAAGGTAAGTGGATTGATTTGAGCTGTACTATTTACAAGATAGGACTTGATAATCTGTTGATATAGTAAAGAGAAGAGTAGTCAAGGGAAGAGAGGAGTCACGGATGACAGCAAGTTTTCCAACTTGAGCAATTAAAGGGACAGTATTGCCACTTAACTGATTAGCTGTTGAGTTTATTTGGATGTTAATACCTTTTTGGATGTATAGAGCATCATTTAGTCTGAGATGTCTCTCACACTAGTATTTCAGACAGGTATTCCACATGTCAACTTGTTCTGCTTGATATTGGAAACATTCTTGTTATTACTGCCCCAGGGAGAACACCCAAATAATCTGAAAGGAAAGCAGCAATCTGCTGGGCAGTTCATAGTAACCATGTACAAGTTCTTCAGAACCTCTACACTGGTCTTAAACTCTATGGGAGTCATTGGTGTGATACCATCTCAAGGAAAGCCAGCATTCTTAGGCTTTATAGAATAACTTCCCCAAACTGAAAAGGAAATGAAATGATCAAAAACATGTTGAATTAGTCAATATTAATTTTTTAGGTATTTTGTACTTGTGAACTTATGAAAATTTATTTATAACCCCCAAATCAAAACTGTGGCACCTACATGGTCATTCATGGTCATGTATGTATGCAAAGCAACCTAAAATTTGAGTTACCTGATGTGGACATTCCTAGTTGAGGTGGAAAATAGTGACTGCCTTTTTGATTCAGCTTCTCATACTGTAAATAAGCCTCCTTTCCCTGCATATTTTGTGTACTTTTATGCTTTTTCTTGGTGATTTTGCTGCCTAAAATGAACTAAGTGTAGTGGTGTGTAGTGTCTCTTAAGTACAAGAAGGCCGTGATGTGCCTTGCAGAGAAAATGTGTTAGAATATTAAAGTACCTTGAAACAAGGTTATGTATTGATCAGTTGATAAGAATCGTGTGACCAGAGGCTTGCAGGAACCTAATCCCAGATTTCTCTTAGAAACAATGATTCTGCATTCATTAATTCAATGTTTTGAGTGATGTTATAGAACTATCACCAGCAAGAAAAATAAACTATATATAAATATGCAGTAGTGAATCACAAATTACCTATGAAGAAACAATGGATGTATCATTATAGATTTTCTAAGTTTGCCAATAGGGTTAGGCACAGTGGCTCATGCCTGTAATCCCAGCACTTTGGGAGGCTAAAGCAGAAGGATAACTTGAGGCTAAGAGTTCAAGATCAGCCTGGGCAACACAGTGAGATCCTGTTTCAAATAAATTAATTAACATCGAGCAGTCACAATCTACCAGGCACTGTATTAAGAAGAACTGTATATACATTTTTTTATTTTTTCACAGATGGGGTCCTGCTCTGTCACATAGGATAGAGTGCTCACATAAGATAGAGTGCAGTGGAGCAATCATGGCTCACTGGAGCCTCAAACTCCTGCGTATGAGGGATCCTCCTACCTCAGCCTCCCCAGTGGCTGGTATTACAGATACATACCAACAAACTCTAACATTTTGTGATCTAATACAATACTGCTATTGACCTGAGATACCACGTTTCTAACAGTATCCCAGGCAATGTTGATGCTGCTTTTGAGAGCCATACTTTTTGGTGGAGACTGTAGACTAGAAGATTGTTATATTAAGGTCTGAGAAAGGGAGAATAGTGGGGGTAGAAAAAACAGAGGAGACTTTGGTCTCCTCTTCTTTGAAAACCTATTATGTTACTTTACAACTTAATTGGGAAAAATCACCAACAAGAAGTTAATTGTGGTACTAAGAACAACTTATATAGGAAGCAAATCAAATAATTAGGCAGACTATTACCACATTTGAAAAATAGTGAAATTTAAAAGCCTGTTACTATATCTTTCCTATGTGCATATTTTATTCTTCACTGTTTTACTTCTCTATTCCCTTCCTTTTCTATACCCATCTCCTAGCATAATTATCTTCATTGCTATAGTTCCTAAATCACCAGTATTTGCTATAATTTGCTATTTGACCCAAAGGCCATTTAATAACATTTCCCAAATTCCAAGTATGTGATTTCTTGGTGCTTAAACTAAGTTTTTTTGCAATGTGGTCATTTGTGATTTCTAAAAATATATTAACGTTTTCTTGGCATCCTAGTATAAATTAATTAGAAATGCTTCAGGATGATTTGGAAAGAATGAAAATAAGGTAAAAAATGTAATATATATTATACACATATGAAACCCAGCCATTAAACTACCTTTTCTCCCTTAACTTTGTACTTACTTGATTTATCAAAGACCATAAATGTTGAAGTCAGAGTCCAACACTGTTTTTCCTATATATGTAGCCTCTTTATTTGAAGGATTAACTCAATGAATCTTAAATATATAAAATTTACTATATTTTATATGTACATGTTATTAAGTATATTAAATAAAAATACAACCGACATTAAGATATGAAACATTTATTTTACATATGAATACCATGTTATTTATCCTATAAAGTCTCTTAAATGTTATGCCCTGTATTGTATGTTATACAAAATATGGTATATGCTTGGATTCTAATAAAAGTGTTGCTATCTTACTTCTATGACCTATAATTTCCATTATCTTTAAATCCTTTTATCCTGTTTTATACAAATGTGGGTATACTAGGTTAGAGACTAACTTCTGAACCAATTTCAATTTTTTTTATAAATGTACATCTGTCAATCTATTATATGCTAATTGTAATATTTTATTCCTGTTTTTCTATTGCTGTTTTCTTGTTTCCTTACCACCTTCTCCATAATCTAAACAATTGAAAATTATATATTCTATTTTTGTTCCTAACACTTATTTTAATGCCAAATAATGCCAAATTTACTAATATTAATTACTATGTGATGCAGGAACCATTGCTATTCCCCAGGCAACTTGTATATACTACAAGATTTTATACACCTCCCTCCCCAACTGGTGACTTGGGAGTTTCTTTTTACACTATGCAGTATCAAGATTAACATTATGGACAAACTTGCTACTTCCCTTCTCCCTATAACTAAAAATGAGGAAAAACTTGTAGTGGCTGTTTTCCAATTTTGTCCTGTCTACAATCATCTTCTATTTTACTTATGTTTAGCTTAAGAACATTCTTATCTTTACAACACAACCTACAGTATTTGTTCAATATATTCAACATCTGACATGCCTTCTCGGAGTTTAAACCTATCTAAACTTAAATTTTAGACCCAACTTACATTTCTATTTTTGTATTTAGTTTTGATACTCTACATGTAACACTTTAAACTTAATACTTCTTAACTATTTTTTTTCTTTAATCACTAGACCATCAGGGATTCTTAACTACTTTTAATGCTTACCATTAATTCTAACAACTACCTCCCTAGTCAAGCTATTTATTTTAATTCTGGTTCTCCTTTGGCGGCAGTAAATCATACAGCAAACTTTTCAAGGAAGTTTCTTGGTTGATATACTTTCTTAACCCCTGCATATCTGAGAATGTCTTCCAGTTGCCTTCATACAGAAATGATAACTTGGCTGGATATATAATTCTTGGCTCAAAGTTATTTTCCTTTAAAATTCTGTAGATACTGTTCCATTGTCTTCGGGCATTTAGAGTTGCAAGAGAAAAATCTGAGGTCAGCCTGATTTTTGTTCCTTTATAGGTAACCTGCTTTCTCTCTCTTGATGCTTGCAAAATTTTATCTTTATCCTTTAAATTTAAAAATGTCACCAGAACATGTCTAGGTGTTGCTTTCTTTTCGTTAAATTTTAAAGGTACCCTGTGAGCTGTTTCTACTTGTAAATCTAGTTCATTCTTCAATTCTGGAAAATTTTCTTCAATTAGTTCCTCAACTATTGTTTCAGCTCCGTTTGCTTTGTCTTCTGTTTCAGGTAGTCCTATTATACGTAGATTGTACCTCCTGGATCGGCCCTCTAGATCTCTCTTTTTCTCCTCTTTACTTTTCTTGACTTCTTTTCCCTTTTTCTCTGAATTCGGTGGAAATTTGTCTTGTTTTGCATTTACTTCAGTAATTTCATTTTGTGGACAATCCAGCTTGCACATTTCTGTTAATTCTCTCAACTCTCTAATACTTTCCAAGCGTTCTGACATTACCCTTTTTATCATTGCGCATAGGGTTTTAAGATTCTGTATTATGTTAGTCTCAATCCTTTCTATCTCTTCTGTTTCGACCGCTACATCTGTTTCAAGAGGTGGCATTTTCTCGAATACTTAGCTGCTCTTTCTTCCGAACTGCGGTATTACGACCTTAAAAACAAGAAACAGAACTTAGTTTCCTATGGCCCAAATATTCCTATTTATAACTATCGACGGTCTTATTAATATGTATTGTTTTTCTTTCCTACCTTTTCAGTAGCGCTTCTTAGCAAAAAGACCCAAATCGAAGATTAAACAAAGTTTCCCGCAGTACTGAACGAAATAAACGTCCAAAATGATTCTCGTTACGTCGTTTCCGCGCGCCTCACGACTCGGCCAATAGCCTGGCGCGTAACCTTAAAGTCGTATCGCTCCTCACCCGCCGCGCTGTCCCCTTTAGAGCGGGGTCACGGTAGTGCGCACGCGCAGCACCGCATCCAATTTTCCGCTTATTCCAATGGCTCGGCTTAGGTGTGGTGCCGCCTTGAAGGCGGGGCTGGGTCCGGGTCGGGACCAATGGCGCCCCGGGTGAAGGTTGAAGGGTGCAAGGTACCCGGGAGCCGGTGGTGCAAGTTGCTTTCAGCTCGTGTGTTGAAGTACCTGTTCATCATGGAGGCTGACTTGACCGAAGAGCTTGACGAGGAGGAGCAGCTGGTGAGACGGCATCGTAAAGAGAAGAAGGAGTTGCAAGGTGACGGGGAAGGAAATGGGAATCTCGAAGCCGCCCAGACCCAGGGAAGGGCGCGTGGCGGGTCAGTTCTGAGAAATCTTACTGGGCGGCTGATCTGGATCGTCCTAGACTTCTCCCAAGTAGCAAGTCCTAGACTTCTCCCTCCGTTTTCCGCCTTCCCTTCCCCAGCGGCCCTAAATCCCCTAGCCTTCCTAGCCTCCCGAGATTTCCTCATTTCAGCCCTGCCACGAACCCCACCCCCCACCCCCTGGCGCCGCCGCCTGGGTGCCGAAGTCTGCAAAGCCTCGAGTTTGGTCCCCTCCCGATCCCCCTTATGCCGCTTCCCTTTCCTGACACTTGGTCTAATGGCTACAATTTAAACTACCTCAGCTCAATTTAGGGGGCCCAGAAGGGAGACTTGAAAGATTAAAAACTTGCTTCAGTCTCTTTTTCTCCTCATCCTCTTAAACAACCCTAACAAATTCAAGGTTATGATAATGAGGAGATTTTTAAAAAAGATATTTTTGGTTTCAGCTTCATCTGGGCTCTTCTCTGTAACTGTCCACTTGTTATGTGAGGACTCTTTCTTGCATCCGTAATTATTTTTTCTCTGCCTGTCTCCCCTTACCATCCTCTTCTTGGTTCTTGCTTCCCATTTCCTCGTTTACCTGAGTTTCTAACTTAATGATTACATGGATTTTCAGCTAAAATTCAGGGTATGAAGAATGCTGTTCCCAAGAATGACAAAAAGAGGAGGAAGCAACTCATTGAAGATGTTGCTAAGTTGGAAAAAGAAATGGAGCAGAAACATAGAGAGGAACTGGAGCAATTGAAACTGAATTCTAAGGAGAATAAGGTATGCAAAAATGTTTGCCCTTGTCTGCAGCATTTGATAACAACTTTCCATTTCTGTTTGTTAATATATAAAGATCACAAAATTTGTAGAGAAATGAAGTCAGGCACATATTACTTTTCATTAATATTTTTTTGTGGCCATGTTTACATGGCAGTGTTTTTTGTAAGAGAGATGAGGAAAGAAAGGAGTACCTTTCTTTACCTATATCTACTTGCTCAAAAGGTGAACCTTCCCTAAATGAAAGTTGGAAGACCAGACTTGTAGTGTTAGAATTGCCACTGAATACGATTGTAACCTGAGCAAAGTTTCTTAATAATTTTCCCTACTTATAATAAGATGCACATATTACTGCTGTCTATTCATAGGTTCTTGTAAGACTCAAATGGGACAACAAATGTGCAGTCATAGTCATTTTTAAATTATAAAAGTGCTTTGGAGCATTCTGACTTCCATCATTTTAACTAATATTTATATTATTATTGTGGTTAATACATTGTGCCAAGTTCTGTACCACATTACTTGTTATCTCATTTAATCCTCACTAACACAGTGTAAGGTATTGCTTATGAAATAAGTGCAAATGATCCCATTTTCAAGTGAGAACCACTTGATAAGAACTTTTTCCTGATGTTATAACACTTATTAAGTGCCAGTGTCAGAATTCAAAATCAGAATTGTCTTACTTTAAGATGTGAATACTGCATTCTGTTTGAGCTTTGTATAGTGTGGCGGTTTATTGTATGAGCTTTAGACATGAAGGATCATGGACTCCACAGCTTCACTTTCAACAGTTAGAAAGTTCTCATGCAAAATTTGCAAAATTTGGTTTATTTTTAGTCTGCTGTTGACAAGGGAAATTATCATTGATTAACAGTGTACTTACATTAATTATAGTCTAAATTTGTCTAACTTTATTAGCCAGTCATCATAGACTCTGCCCTTCTTTGCCCTTATCATACTTGATCTCCAGGGAATAGCAGATGATGCTTCAGGTGTTCTGTTGTGTCATTACAGTTGTGGTATTCTTAATTGTCCATCTCTCCTATTAGTGAGATAATTTTTACTCTATCAGGCCTTTCATCTTCTTTGTCATGTTTTAGGGACAAAAATGTTTGATTCTCAATCTGTATACTGTTCAAATGTTAAAATACAGACTCCCATTCTCTATTTGAACTATTGTCTTTTTCATTAACTTAAACTTGTTTTCTTTTCTGGATACTACCTAAATTTTTATGTCATAGCTCTTTTGTTTTTCAGATGCATCTCTGTATCTTGACTATTGCCAGTATGGCAATTTGTAAATTTTAGCAGATTCTTCTAAAAAAATGAATGCTGATTCCTAATTTCTCTAACGTTGATAACCCCTCTTTGAAGTCTTTATCTGATTAAGATATTTTGATCACCTGGAACATAGCCTTTAGAGACTTATGTTTCTGTATGTTAATGGTCTTTATTTGTTGTATATATACTAAGGACTGGCTTAATTTACAGTGGCAGTAATAAAACACCAACTACTCATCCTAATAGTTATAAGTCTAGCAACTTTGTTCTTTGGGATTGGTTGTAATGTCTGATACTTTAAATTAAATATATTTCCTGCCTGCAGTTATCAGTTTGTAGACAGGAAAGGATAGGAAAATTTCAGCTTTTTGCTAGCGTCATGGATCAGTGCTTACCAGGTTCTGCCCAATAACGATGGAGCAGGGCTTTGCCATCACATTTGAGTAATAAACTGAACCATGAGCCAGCATAGGACCTATGCATTATATGTACTGTCAGCATTCAGAGAAAGAAGAATGGAGTGCTGAGTGAATTGGCACTTAGGAGATAGAGTGTGTAGATTAGTGAAATAGGCATTCTAAGAAGAAAGGAAAGCATGCAGGATGAGCATTATCTTTGAAGAGCTGAAAGGAAGCTTCTTGGGAATTTGACATATTCTCTCATAAAAAGTAGAGAAAGGAGATGAAACAATATTAACTAATATGGTGTCTAGTGTTACTAAGATTTCATGTGTGGGATTGGGTAGATTCTGATTTTTAATAGTAATTTAATAACCTAATACTTTCAGCAATAATTTAAAAGTGTTTTCATTGACTTGTTAATGCTTTTTGTTTCCTTCAGATAGATTCTGTTGCTGTTAACATTTCAGACTTGGTACTTGAGAATCAGCCGCCTCGGATATCAAAAGCACAAAAGAGACGGGTATGAAAGTCATGTCACCAAGTATATAAGTTAGGCTGTGTGCTCAGTACTGTTGTAGGTGTTGTGTAAGAAAGAAATTAAAACAAAAAAACAAAAAAGGAGTTCCTTGTCAAGAACTAATATTTAGTAAGCACTTGCTGGTGTGCCAAATACTCTCTGACTACTTATAGGAAATCTCATTTAGTACTGACAATAATCCTGTGAAGTAGGATTTCTTATTCTCCTTTTCTAGGGAAGAAAATAGGCCTGAGATAACATAAAATAGGAGGCTCAGTTTACTATTCTCATAAGACAGTGGGGCTGGGAAGTGGGATTTTTTTTTCAAATATATTATCCAGACTTTATAATTCAGAACTTCAGAGTATGCTTCCAGGTGATTCTGATAGACACCTTGGTTGAAAACTGTGGTATTGAATAAGAAATAAGAATTTGAACCTAGAAGTTAAGATTCATAGGTATTCAGAATTCTCAGATAATGTTGTAGGTGTTTATGTAGTGACTAATTATGATGAAAATGTAGAGATGGGAAAGTTCATTGTGCTAAGTATTAAATAATAGGTTAGAATTTGAAGGAAATATTTATGTGGGATATTCCAAATAGGAGAAATACTATGCATAAAAACAAATGTGAGAATGAAATACTGTCAGAGAGCCATAAGGAAATTGATTTATTAGAAGTAGTTCATGATATCAACATGGGAATGAGATTAGTTAGGTCAGGCCCTTTGACACTGAAAAAGAAAAAGACAATTAAATCCAATCTTTTTAGTCCCAAAATTATTTTACTAACACTTGATATGTTCTAGGATTTAAATGCATATTTTTAAATTAGCTTTGCATGTTATGATTTAGTAGTACATAATTTAGTGGAATGTCTCAGAGATGAGCTTTTAATTTTACTATTATACTTTGTATAAGATTCTTCTCTAAATCTCAGTTTCACATCTATTAAAGGGGTGCAAATAAAACCTAATTCCTAATAACCCTGTGAATACTAAATAATACACTATTTCCAAAGCCCTTAACACAAGTCCTGGAGAATTAATGTGTCAACAAATGATAGTATTGTTTATTGTTTTAAGTACTGCGAAGTATGTCTCGTAGTATGTTTCTTAAAAAGTTAAACTTGGGTGGTGTCTGTGGCTCAGTGAGAAGGGTGCCAGCCCCATATACCAGAGATGGTGGGTTCAAACCTACCCCCCCAAAAAAGTTAATCTTAAGAGGAATGTCTTTTTTTTTGAAAGTTGATTAAGTTGCAAATAGACATTTCTCATATTTGTATAAAATTTTGTTCTTGAGTAAATATTATGATTGTGAATTTGATAGAATCATGAAATACAGGTATCTTGGAATTTATCTGCTTCTGGTATGCAATCTTTTTTTTTGGCTGGGGCTGGGTTTGAACCCACCACCCTCGGTATATGGGGCCGGCACCCTACTCCTTGAGCCATAAGCACTGCCCTGGTATGCAATCTTTTTATGGTAATAATTGTTACCTTCTAGGGATCAAAAATGAAAGGCAGAATTTTTGCATGCCAGTAGCATAACAAAAAATTGGAATCACCTCTACATAGTAATTGAAACATCTTATAATAGCCTACTTAATGTTGGCAAATATAAGGACCCAGCTCCTTCATATCTTTATCAAGACTTGTTCATCCTTACCTGGACCCTTAGGGAATAAAACAAACATAAAGAAAACTGTTACCTTTCTCAAAAATTTTGTTACATTTTTCCTAAAATACTGCACAACTAAGATTAATACCCTTTTTATTTATACTCTAAAAAATTTAGTATGTTTTATAGTTAGCTGCTGTAACACTTGACAGAGAAGGTGCCTTAGAAGTACTGCCCAGTTTCTTACTACTTTGTTATATTAATGTGCTTCTGGAACAGAAAGCATTATAGGTTTATAATATATAAGAAAATGGAACCTGAAATCAGGGTGAATTATTGAATAGCAGATAATTTGGAACCTTCTCTTGTTGCCAAAGGCATCAAGGAATCAAAAGCCAGTTAATGATGTTTATTTTGGGGAAAGATACAATTCTGGAAGAAAACATTTATATTGTAAGACTATTATGGAATATTGTAGAGCATGTCTCTTATTTTTAATCTAAAAAAAATAGGAGTATTTTATTTAATACAAAGAACTTAGAAGCTTTTTGATATGGTAGAAAGAATCCAAAGTAGGCCAAGTATGATGGCTCATGCCTATAATTCTAGGGCTTTGGGAGTCAAGGCCAGAGGATTATTTGAACTAGGAATTGGAAACCAGCCTTTACAAAAAACATAGGGAGACTCCCATCTCTACAAAAAATAAAATAAATTAGCCAACTGTTTCTCTACTCTAGCTACTCGGGAGGCTGAGGCAGGATGTTTGCTTGAGGATTTGAGGTTGTAGTAAGCCATGATCATTCCACTGCACTCTAGCCCTGGCAAGAGTGGGAGAGGAGACACTGTCTCAAAAAGACAAAAAAAAAAAAAAGCCCAAAGCAGAACTTAGGTACTGGGTTCTAAAAACATGAAATTTGAGAGCTGGAATGAGATCGAGTTCAATTTCTTTATTTTACAAATAAGACACTTGAGATCCAGGTTATCTTAGTGGTATACTGAAAGTTGGAAACAAATGCAGGATAGTGCCCAGCTCTTAAGATTATTTTTGAGTTGTTTTTGCTATATTATTATTTCAACACATACCTAGTTTTATTAGCAATGTATTTATGATTTACATGCTATTTTCATCTTATGTGTGTTTCCGTTAGACCTTACTGATGCCATTTGGTTTTCAGTACTATGGTTGTAGAAATGAAAAGTGCATGTGCTATTGGGAAAGAGTACATTGCTGGGAAGAGAATCCAATGAATTTCTCATCTAGTGCCCTGGGAAGGAAAATCATTTGCTTTGTAATACCGAAGTAAATGATAAGGATAAAGGATAAAATGATTAATTAGAATTAGTATTTTAGTATTTTAGAGGCAAAAACAGTTTTACAGAGAGTATAAAGTTCCACTCTTCCAGTAAATAGTACATGACATCATTAACTCCAGCTCCCATCTGCTCCAACTTTTATTCTGATTCAGGTGCCCGGATACAAGGAGCTCTCTGTGTTGTCCTTGGTCCCCGCTCTGCTCTAACCAGCTGTTTGGCCTTTGGAAATCTTTCTGCGTGCTGTTTCCTCAGAAGAGGAAAATGAGGGGGTTTGGATTAGATGATATCTAAGGTGCTTATTCTTCCTCTCCCCTCTGAAACTGTTTTTTAGGGTTTTATAAAGTAATAGTGCCGTCTTGTGTTTTAAGATTTTATGCCTTTGTGATCTACAATGAAATAAATTTGTGTTCTGTTATGGTTTCATTTGGGAGGAAAAAACTTAAATAGGCTATGTTTTGTTAGGAAGATAATATTGTTTTTGGTTCAGGTAACTTAGAAATCACTTCAGGTTCATCTAGCATGGCACGTAACAAGCAGTTAGAACAAGTATATGGCAGTAAGCTCAATTGAAATTTGCCTTTTCCTTTACTTCTTTTGCCCAAAGGAGTTAAAGCTTAGGCTTATGAAAGTCTTTATCTTTTCCTACGCTTGAACTGCGAAATCCTTTACTGTAATTTACTGTTAATACCAAGATTTATAGAATTTAGTTTAACTGTTTTTATTCTTTTATGCTGAAAAGCAGTTTCCTCCCTGAGTGTACAAATAAAACATACAGTAGAAAATTTGAAAGATGCAAAAAAGCACACAGACACACGCCAAAATAGAAGTTATTTTGGAATCCTATCATCTAGTGAAAAGCATTAAAAATAATCTTCCTTCTAGTATATCCTTCTAATTTTTTCTGTATATCCTTCTAGTTTTTTTTTTTTTAAACACTTTAAAGCATAGACTTAATATATATATTAACTGTATGCCTTTCTTTTTGCCCCCAACCCCATCTCTTGACCCTTTTCTCTGGTACTGTAGCTCCGTGAGTTGTTTCTAGCTGTGAAAGATATAATGCTTTCTGATTTGTGATCTTACGGATCCACTTTTTGGGATTTTTTTCTCTTCCTTAACCCTCCCATCTCCCCTCCGATCTGCCCTTCATGTCACAAATCTCCCATTAACATCACCTCACCCTATTCTTGCATATGCTGCCACGAGAGGATCTCTTAAGATATTTGAATAGGGAGAGCACACATTGCAGAATATAATATATGACACCATTTGGGGGTATACTATATTGATTAAAATGCAAAGAAAAACAGTCTAGAAGGATACATACCAAACCTCTTGCTAAGCACTTGGATAGCAGTATTTGTGGGGGGGAGTTTTAGTCTATCTGTAATACTTTAATGTTTTTAAAATAAGAATGTTTTCATCTATTTCTTCCTTTTATCCTGTACTTTGGGAGATTAAATTTGATTCTTTGTCAGTTATACAGGGTGTCCATACAATTCATGTGCGGTTTACTATGTTAAGCTATTTTAAATTGCACAAGAACTTCATGTCCACCCTGTATGTAGTCTCAATAAGGTAATAATTATGTATATACATGTATATATACTTTTTTAAAAGGCTAGATAAAGGAGTATCTGCCTGTAACCTACCAAAGACTTCAGCAGATTTACACCTCACTAGTAAAGTGATAAGTTAAGAAGCTGGGATTAGTGTGGGTTTAAATACGATAATAATGTGCTTTAAGGTCTAGGACAACTCAGTCTTAAGATAGTACTTCGAAATCAGTAAGTAAAGTTTTCTAGAGACTTGGCAAATAATTCCATACATGATGAGGTAATCAATGTGGTAGTACTTGTGAGAGAAGGAAGAAAATGGCAAAACATTTTGAGATGCTTACATTTTCATTCCCTTAATAAAGGAGAATTAGCCTAATTATTATGAAGTAATTCCTGTATGTTCTCATCTTTTTAGGAAAAAAAAGCTGCATTGGAAAAAGAGCGAGAAGAAAGGATAGCTGAAGCTGAAATTGAGAATTTATCTGGAGCCAGACATATGGAAAGTGAAAAACTTGCTCAAATATTGGCAGCTAGACAGTTGGAAATTAAACAGATTCCATCTGATGGCCACTGTATGTATAGAGCCATTGAAGATCAGCTGAAAGAACAGGATTGCACTCTGACTGTAGTTGCCTTAAGAAGTCAAACCGCTGAATATATGCAAAGCCATGCAGAAGACTTTCTGCCATTCTTAACGAACCCCAGTACTGGAGATATGTATACTCCAGGTAATTTATTTTTCTATACTATGTTTTGTAGTTGCTGTTGGTGGTTCTGGCTGTTTTTAAATAAAGTGCTTCCTAGGAGCATAAAAAGAAGCCATGTAGACCTTATGTGAAAAAAGTATCACAAAATTTAGGTAGAATTATTTTCTACATTTTTAATACATTCTGGTACATTTTGCTTTATTAAGATCTCTTAAGTACTTAACCATTTTATAGATAAAATATATTAATCATTTTATATAAGGTAAAAATAGAATAGGATCAATTATTATTACTGAAGAAAAAGTGTTAATGTTTATATTTAAGAACCTTAAGTATAGGAAAAGGTTGACTTTGACCAGCTGCTGGAAGTATATATTGGTCCTGAAGATCTTAAGTAGAGAATGATAAGGAAAACTGTTTCTTCCTTTTATCCTGTAATTTGGGAGATTAAATTTTACTCTTAATAAGCAATTATTGGGAAGATTAATATTCATATAAAATTTAAAAACAGGAACAAATGGGTTAATAACCTTTTATTCTATATAATACTTTTGATAATTAAGATAAAATATTTATGGAGTTAAAAAATGCACAACTAGCAAATGAAGAAGAGAGCAAGTAAAAATCTGAGGGAGTTTCAGGGGAATAAAGAATGGAATAGAGGAAAGTTAATACAGTAGAACCTCTGTAAGTTGACCACACCACTCAAGAGACTGTAACAAACTGGTGAGGTGGTGAATGTGAGGAACTAGGCCTGCTGTACTGATACATGCATGTGGCGCTTGTCCAGTCTTTGAAAATTAGGTCAACTTTAGGAGGTGGTTAACTATGGAGGTTCAACAGTACTTGAAAGAGAAGCAACCCAGATGGCCAGGATGAGTTGGAGAAGGGGAGGTTAAGGTTGATTTCCCTTTATCAATGGAGTCTGCCCGCTTTGGAAGGAGGTAGTGCGTCTTGCAGAATGGATAAGAATGAGCATTGGCAGTCAACTGTGTTTCTTTTAGTGTGTATGGCTTAGGGTATGTATTGATGGATCTCAAGAATGACTATAGGTATATCTAATTCTTTAGCTAATTAATTTCCCATAGATGCTATCCTGGAAACGTTAACGTAGCTCTTGCTGTTTTAGGCCATTGCTGTTTTCTAAATCACCAGAATTTGCCATAGGTGAGTCAGAGAAAAAGACAAGAGTGAGTGAGTTATCTTCATTCATTCAATGTTCATTGAAGGCCAGTGTGTGCTAGGCATTATTCTAGGCACCGTTCTGCTCACTGAGGATATAACAGTAAATGAGACAAACACATGGGACATAGACATATTCTTCTAGATAATCAATAATTCTCCCCTGTCCCCACTCTCTGTGCTGAAAGACATGTGCTTCCCATTTTAACATGCTGTCTATTAGTGCATGCATAAGATATGCCCATTGTAAACTCAGAAATTAAGCTCCTTCTCCCAGGGCTGATCTGAAAACTCCTTTCCTTGGCTAGAACTGATAATGTATGCCTGTATACTTAGGTGCTTCCAAAATAACAAGTAGAGGCACCATTTGAAGCTAACTCTGGGGAAGGAATTTCAACTCTTTTGTATTTTTACCCTAATTCTCTTCACACATTTCTCCTAGGGCCTTCATTAAAACTAATTGTATAGAGGCTACATATTTTAGTTTTTCGTGCTGTTCTGTTTGGGGTTCAAATCGGGTGGCACCGGTGGCTCAATGGGTAGGGCGCCAGCCCCATACACTGAGGGTGGAGTGTTCAAACCTGGCCCTGGCCAAACTGCAACAAAAAAATAGTGGGGCATTGTGGTGGGCACCTGTAGTCCTAGCTATTCGGAAGGCTGAGGCAAGAGAATCGCCTAAGCCCAGGAGTTGGAGGTTGCCGTGAGCTGTGTGACACCAGGGCACTCTACTGAGGGCAATAAAATGAGACTCTGTCGCTACCAAAAAAAAAAAAAGAGATGGTTAAAATCTTAGTAATTTTGGGGATCATTTCTTTGGGTAATGAGAGGGAAGTGGGTTTGTTACATAGATGAAGTCCTTGGACTTTACGCTGAGGGAGAGAAGCCAAAATGGATTGCTCTGCTCTTGGGTGGAAAAATGGTGGGGAGTTGGGGTGAATTAAGTTTGAATCTGGGAAGTAGATCAGATTCTGAAGGGTACTGGTAGAGAAGGCGGATGTTCATAACGTGGACATTTTTATCAGGAATGGTGGAAGATCTAAAAGGGATCTTTTAACATGAGTTATGGAAATTATTAAACACCATATTCTGATCTGTTTCTATAGAAGAGTTCAGAAAGTACTGCAATGATATTGTAAACACAGCTGCATGGGGAGGTCAGCTTGAGGTAAGTTTATAATTATTTCTAGTGATTATAGGTTGTTAATTAATTCCTAAATCCCTTCTGTAGTTTTCAGGCATTTTTCAGCTGATCTCAATTTCTTGTGGAGGATTTCTTTTCTATATCTTATTTATTGTTCCTCTATTGACAAAGCAATAGGGAGTTAACGTGGTTAGGTGTTTGACTAGAGTATGCACCTTGAGGAAGCAAAGCACTGTTTTCATTTTAAATAGCTTAGTGCTGGATGTGTGCATTGAGAGGGTAGTATTAGATCTATGTAAGTTTTCTTTTGTGATGCGGCCACTGGCAATGTATTTGGTTTTCTGGACTAGGAAAAGTTAAAATTTTACTGAAGTAAAAGTAAAATTTGCCTTACTGGTTTAGCTGATAAAAGTCCCTATTGGGAAAGTAATATCTTTACATCAGAAACAGAAAAGCAGTGTTTTTATGTGAAATTACAGGCCAAATGCTACCACAACACGTCTATTAAAATTGTGTTTTGAATTCTTAGTTGATAGTGACGTGACTCACTTGAAAGCAGTAGTTGATGCATTAAAATTGGTACGTAAGAAAACAGTGTTCAGTCTTGAACTTGTAGGAAGTTACCAGAATTTTCTTTAACTTTAGTTTTTAATCTTACTGCCAACTTTGTTTCATTAAAACAAAACATTTAAGTGAACCAAGTGGTAATGTGTTAGAAAGAGGATAAAAAGGCAAGTCCCAGGTTTAGGTCCTGGCATTTCCTTCCACTTCTCTGTTTTGGGGGAGTCGGCCAACCTCCCAAGCTTGAGTTTCTTAATAATCGAATAGGGATAATAAAACCCCTGTGTGTTGAGCAATCGTGAACATTAAATAAAGCAGGGAGTGTACGTGTTTAGTGTTTTTAAGCCAAAATGCTGGATGGACGAATCTAACAGCATTATTATAATATTAATAGTACTGTATAATGATTGGATGATTAATCCTCTTGAATATCTGTGCCTGTAAATATTTCACTTTCAGAACTGTGTTGTTTGAAGACGTGACAAAAGTGTTTCTCCAAAATCTTTTTCTTAACACTGCTGTGTTTGTACCTCTCCACCAGGGGGAACTGTATCCATTAGTTTTCTTTGCCTTGCCTGGGTCTCTGAAACTGAGGAAGTTTTTATACTAGCTTTGTGATTACATTAGGAATAGTTAAAGATGTTTCACTATTTTATAAGAATCACCAATTAATGTAAATATTAGAGACATATCAACTCTACTTAATAAAGGCCTTTTAAAACATCTTTTGAAGGACATTTATTCATAAAGTGTGAATTCCTTTGAAATAAAGTTGCTATTTTTACAGTTGGGTTAATTTATCATTATAAGAAAAATGTGCTTCATAGGAACATTTCATTTATACAATAGACTATGGTAGTAAATTTGCCATCACGCAGAACAGGACCCTTTCCATATTTCTGAAGTAAATGCCCCAAAGGACTATATTCCTATAATAAGGCAAATACATAGATCAGAGCACTGTGATTGAAAACTGTTAATGATTAATTTGTTTATGAACTTGGGGTCTAGAGTCAAACTGTCCTGGTCGAGCATAGGTCATTTAATTTTCTAATGCTTGACTTTGACAAGTTTCTTAATCTTTCTCTGCCTCAGATTCTAGGCTTTAAAATAACAGTAGCATCTATTCCACATTGTTATTGCGAGCATTGAATGAATTAATATACAAAAAGTGCTTAGAGTGCTTTGGTCATATTAAGTCTCAAAAAATGTTAGCCATCACGTTCATTATTAACTATTATTCAGCTCAGTGTAGGCTCTACTTTTATATTATACGGTATGAAATTACTTAAAATTATATAATATGTTAATCATAGAGATTCCTTGAGAAAGCAGTACAATACAGATACATATCTCATTCTACATTTGCCTTGAAAATTATAGAACTGTGATTCTCAACACGACCTGTACATTAGAATCTTCTGGAAGCTTTTAAAAATATAAACTTCCTGTTCTGCCCTCCCCTCTCTTCTTCCACATTGTAATTAATTTAATCTCATGCTTGAGTAGTGGTATCTTAAATATCTTTCTATTATGGAGATTTTCAAGCTTGAAATCTTCCCATCACCTACTTCATTAACTATGGCATTGATATTTTTACAAAGCTGTTGGCAACTTGGGCTTGAGAAACTTCTGTATTTGGTTTAATAAATCTAAGTTAAGCATCCTGAATTCAAAAATTTGAAATCCAAAATTGTCCCAAAATAGCCGGGTGTTGTGGCAGGCACCTGTAGTCCTAGCTGCTCAGGAGGCTGAGGCAAGAGAATTGCCTAAGCCCAAGAGCTGGAGGTTGCTGTGAGCTGTGATGTCACAGCACTGTACTGAGGGTGAAAAAGTGAGACTCTGTCTCTACAAAAAAAAACCCAACAAAAATTGTCCAAAATCCAAAACTTTTTGAATACCAATGTTGTGCCATAGGTCGAAAATTCCACAGTTTACCTCATCTGCTGCGTTGTAGTAAAAACAGTCACAATTTTGTTTCTTGCACAAAATTATTAAAAATACTGTATAAAATTACTTTCAGGCTATCTGCATAAGGTGTATTTGAAAACATGAATGAATTTCGTGTTAAGACTTGGGTCCCAACCCCAGGATATCTCATTACGTGTAGTATATGTAAATATATTAGACAAAATTCAAAATTCAAAACACTCTGGTCCTAGGCATTTTGGGATAAGGGACAAAACAACTATTTTTGTTTATTCAAGTTCCCACTATGTGCCAGGCTATCAGTGTACAGGTGATAGGACCACATCCCTGTACTGATTGGTTGCCTTTTTCATGTGTAGTTTAGGATTTGAATGTGACTTACATTTTTATTTTCCTTACTAATACTTTTTTCCCCCTATATATAGCTAAGAGCTCTGTCTCACATTTTACAAACACCAATAGAGATAATACAAGCAGATTCTCCTCCTATTGTAGTTGGTGAAGAATATAAAAAAGCCCCATTAATCCTTGTGTAAGTATCTAAAAATTTTACTCTTTGATTTTTCATAATCAGAAGAAAAGGGAATATGAAAAGATTTTAGGTTGTATATGTTGGTTAATTGAAACAACTATCTTTAGCTGAATTAATTCTTCTTTTATGTTAAAGGAAATTATAGAAAGCATTGTCAAAATATGTGATTTATATGATTTTTTAAACCTCTGGTGATGAGTTAATAATAAAGACATTTCTAAAGTTACAAAATTACAGGACTAGTTTGAATATTGTCTGGGTTTGATATTATAATGCTGGAAGTTTCAACATATATTTATGCTGAAACATAAATCTATTTCAACATTTTATGTTGAAATATATGTATTCAACATATATTTATGTTGCTTGTTTATTCCTTAGAGATTTTTTTAGCCACATCGTGAAAATAATTTTACATGATTGAGAGATTGATAAATTTCTTCTGGAAATACAGCATAGAGGGTTTGCTGTTGGCTCTAGTTTTTATTAGCTAAACCACTACGGGACACCAAAGTAGTCATTAATGGCTAGCATTTAGGTGAAAGTGTAAGCTTAGTGGGCACTCAGCAAATCAGCCTTTTCATTTTCCCTCCAGTGTTTGAACTTGATTTTGCTGATTGCTGATACTTTTTCAGATGGTGCTGGACTCTTAATTAATATGTCCGTGTAGTCTATTGAAAGATACTCCTGTGCACTGAGTCATTTAGAGTGCTTCATTTATATACACAGCATTTATATATAATATATTACTTTCATCAAAATTACTCATTTCTTCTCTTTTCGTTTCAGATATATGAGACATGCATATGGCTTAGGAGAACATTATAATTCTGTTACCCAGTTGGTAAACACAGCTACTGAAAATTGCAGCTAGTTTACAAAATATTAAATAATTATGTTTCAGTACAGTGTGCTGACGTAAGTATTTCCTACCAAGCGCTGATTGTTCTGAATGCTACTGAAAACACAACTACCTTAAATCAGTTTTATGGCAAAGCTACTTACTAGTAGGATATTAAGAAATATATCAAAGATTAACTTTAACCAGTGTCCTTTTAGTGGAATTTTAAAAACTTGTAAGCCTATTGTGGAAAACATCATTCATAGGTCAAGATGGTACCCTATTTGTTGATACTCTTATTTATGTTGTATCTTGAATATTTTGTGTTAAAATACTTATTTTAAGTGTTTAAATGTCCCCCTTGTTCCTGAAAACTTTCAGAGAAACCATTTCGATGTAATTTTTCTTGAAGTGAAATGACTCCGTCTCCTTGTTATTGCAATCAATAATGTTGTATTGTGTTAAATTTAATTAATGCTTATAAAATGAACTTGATTGCAGAAACCTTGGTATTGATGGGATTAATGCAGTGAAGCATTTTATGAGTCTTATCAAAGTACAGCTAAGAAAGTTGCTTTAATAATTAAGAATTTTTAAATATTCAGGTGGGAATCACTTGTTAAGCTTAAAGAAATGAGACAAATTCAAAAGTAAATAGGTATTTTCTATCTGATTTAAAACTCTAAAGAATTAGATACTCGTTTTTTATTTGTGTATGCAACAGATTTTTGTCTAATTCATTTGTTATTCTTCAGTGTTTCTTAAATTTCACACTGGAGTCAGTACCATCATCTCTTGATTTCGTCCCTAACTCCACATTTTTATATTTTCCGCTGTGTTTTTTCCAGCCACTGTTCAACTCTGTTGCTATTTGTACTGCCTTTTCACTAAAAAATGTTCTGTGGCCTCTTTTTTTCTTTACCTTGTACAAGTTGAGGGAGTAGCAATGTAAAATGTCCAAGGCCACATTTACTTAATTTGTCTTAAAGATATCTTTGTTATCTAGGATTTTTTTTTTTTTTTGCTTCATTTTTCTAGCATTGGAAGAAAATCTTTGTTACTTGTTATTTTATTAACTTGATTAATACCACTTTTCTGTCAAGTCAAACATTTGAGAATTTTTATGTTGTACATATGGATAAAGGTGAAAGCCACTATTAGGTAGCTGAGATCTGCATAGTAAAATCAGCACACAATGGTTTTTGGTGTGAATGATTTATCCAGCTTGAATTTCAAGTTACTCCGTAACAGTATTTTTTCAAAGAAGATTGTACCTATATATATAAATGTGTCTGATAATTTGTTATATAAGGAAGTGTTATAAAGATGGGAATTTTTTGGTTTGATCTATTTCTCCCAAATTAGTAAGTAATATAACTAGTCAGATTTACCACCAAGTTTATAACATTTGAGTTTTTGCTCCGTGAATATAACGAAGTTTTATAAGTAAATGTTTATAATATTAAAAATGGCATGTCAGTCTCACAGGCCCAGCAGGTGACAGTGTTGGGGATTGGTACGGACTGTGGCCAGTAAGAGTAGCTATTACTACCTGAAGGCTTCCAGTCATGAGATTAAAAACCATACTACCCGCCATACAAAATACATTCTGAAGGCTGCCTGTTTTATAACCCTTGATTTGAATTTTGCGGGATCGAAATTTGTGAAAGGATGAAATTATAAAATAGTAAATGCTTTGGGTTTATTTTGAAGTCATCCGTTACTATAAAATTAAAGTATCAGCATTAAAAAATAGTAAAGCAAGATATCATTGAACCTAGTATTATAAATTCTATTTACATCTGAAGTATTCTAAAGTAACTTATTGGTAGCTTCATTTTCTGGCGAGAGAATTTTCTTTATGTTTATTTTTTTACTTTTGTTATATTTTTAAATTTTTAAGTGGCCGACATGGTTATAAACAAGATTTGTATGGTCTTCTGTTCCTTCATAAAACTTCAGAAAAATATCATCTTAGCCATAACCTTAAGAAGTCTTTAAAAAATGGCAGATGTGAATTTAAAAGCAGCATTTACTAATTTAGTTTGCTGTATGATGATGGTCTAATGGAAGTTATATAAGCTTTCTTTTGTTCCAGCTTGGAAAAGTATATGTCAGAGTTCTGGAACATGTCTTTAGCCAACCATTTTTATCCACTTAAATATGTTTACAAATTGTGTAAAGCAAAAATGAATGTGTGTAACTACAGTGAGCAATATAGTTCTGCTCATACTATCTGATGTTTGCCAAAAAAATAAATAAATAAATAAAAGATGAATGAATTAAATCAATTTGCTTGGATTGTGATTCTTAAACTACAGATTCTTGCATTTAAAGGATTTGGCTAACTATATGAGTATAGCCTTATGCCTCATGGTAGTAGTAAAGGGAAATAATAACATAATGGCCATTGAAGCCATGGCTCTTAGAAATTAGTTAGAAGCTTAACATCTTTTAGAATAAGGAAGGCTTATTCATAAATGAATTTGAAGAATATTTTAAGACTCATGGGTTTTAAAAAAAGAATTATTTGCATTTATGTGTAAGGATGTGGAACAATAAGAAAAAGGTTTGTTATATTTTCATGCAATTGTTGACATCGTGTCTTTTATTTTTTTTTTTGAGATGAGTCTCGCTATGTTGCCCTCAGTAGAGTGCTATGGTGTCCATAGCTCATAGCAACCTCAAACTCTTGGACTTAAGCTATTCTCTTGCCTCCCCCTCCAAAGGAGCTGGGACTACAGGTGCCCACCACAACCCCGAACTATTTTTTTGTTGTTATTGTCATTGTTGTTTAGCAGGCCTGGGCTGTGTTCGGACCCACCAGCCCCGGTGCCCTGAAGCATGTGGCTGGCACCTTAATCACTGAGCTATAGGTGCCGACATGGTGTCTTCTTATCATGAATTAGCTGAAGGAGCAGATAAGTTGATTTTCTGAGAATTTATATAGTGATTTCATATTGTTTTTACATTTATTGAACAAATAAGAGTTTTTCTCCTTGTCTCTTGTCTCACATTTTTACATACGTTGATTCTTTCCTAACTTAAATCTTTCTCCATCTTAGAATGCATGGGGTTTCTTCTAAAACATAAGTTTCTAGTTCCTAAAATTTTAAGAAGCATTAGTTCCTCTCCTTTACCTACATTGTTCTCTCCTCCTCAAAAGCATTTGAGCTACCACTTAGATTTGAATGCTTTACCCAGCCTGCTTTTCCTAAGCTTATTTGTCTTCTTGGTCTCAGCTTGAGTCTCTCTGACTCCGCCCACTGAGGGTAAGGTAGGTCTAGTCAATGCTTGTTTCTTTCAGTACCTGCACCCTTGTGATGACTTGTATTCAGTTGTTTTTTAATCTCTTTTTCCCCTAGTCTATTAAATGCTTAGAAACAACTTCTTGACTACTGTTAAGATATATAGCACATTGCTTGTCTGTATATTAAGGTGCTTAATAAGTCTTAACAGTGTTAGGATATCAATTGAGAAGATAGGATATGATTGGGGGGTTTGCCATTAGGCTAATAGACCTGGGTATAGAGAGATGGTACTGATTGAGAATTGTGCTTCTCACAGAAAGCCTGCGTCCTCATTTACTGTGCCTTTGGATGATTTCGTCAAGTCTTTCTGTCATTTGAAGGGAGGAATGGAAACTAAGGGAGCTTTCTTTTTTCTTAACTTATAATATGTTATGGTTAATTTACCTTCCTGTACCAATTAGGACAATGTCTGATTTTAATTTATCTACATGAAATACAAGGATCCTGGCTCAGTACCTGTGGCTCAAACAGCTAAGGCGCCAGCCATATACACCTAAGGTGGCGGGTTCGAATCCAGTCCAGGCCCACCAAACAACAATGACAGCTGCAACCAAAAAATAGCTGGGCGTTGTGGCGGGTGCCTGTGGTCCCAGCTACTTGGGAGGCGGAGGCAGGAGACTCGCTTAAGCCCAGGAGTTGGAGGTTGCTGTGAGCTGTGATGCCATGGCACTCTACCTAGGGGGATAGCTTAAGTCTCTGTCTCAAAAAAAAAAGAAAGAAATACAAGGATCCTAAAAATGCGTGTACAGATCAAAAACAAAAGATTTATTAATGTACTGACTATAAAGAAGTTTATACTTTTCTTTTTTCAGGCTGATCAGGATGACAAGTATGACTTGCTGAAGCAAATCACTGACTTTCTATAAGGTAGCTGAATTTTCAGTTCTCTGAATAGAGCTTATTTATATTCTATCTTCTGCTCTTTTTCTTTATCACTCTTGTATCGACAGAAGTAAGGACATATTTGTTGTTTATACTTTTAGCCAATACAGCATTAACATGGGGATTAATAAGAACCCTACACATGAGTTTGATGAGCAAAAATAATTTCACTTTAATATTTATTTTTGAATCAGGCATTTCCCTCCTAATCCCTACTGAATTTGGAAAGGCTTTTTATACCTAGATGAGAGTTTTTCACCAGTGGCACTATTCCGTGTTGAGCTGATAACTGTTTGTGATGGGGGCTTTGCTATGCTTTGTGTGGCGTTCAGCAGAATCCTCTACAAGGGTCACTAGCACCCTGTTTAGAGTTGTGAGAACAAAAAATGTCTCCATGGGGACAAAATCACCCCCAGTTGAGAAGCACTTACTAAATCATAAGTTTTATTACTGATGAACTTAGAAAGTTGTAAGGAAAACCTTTTAGATCAAAAATCAGGCACAGTAGGCAGCTGTACATCTGCTTTGCAGGACTTTGGGGACTTCCTCAGGCCAGATTTTATATGATTTCCCCTTGAAAGGCTCACTGGCCCTCAAATGTTTTCTTTTCTTTTCATATCCTTACCTACTCAAATGTGTTTGACTTTTGAGATCACTGAGAGTGGCATTCAGGATAGACTAGGTTATGCTGTGGTAACAACTTAAAAATGTTGATGTAACAGCAAAGGAGTGTTTTTTTGTTTGTTTGTTTTTTTAATGTGCCACATTTTCAAGTTGGCTGGGGTACCTGTTGCACATTTCTATACCCTAGGGCTCAAGCTATTCAAGTTGTCACCATCTCAAACTTTGTTGGAAAAGGGCATTTGGGAGGTCTCACTTCAACAAACTAATTTTGTGGATTAGAAGTAATTTCTCATTTCCATTCATTGGCTGGAATTAGTCGCATGGCTTCACCCAACTAGGAGAGTGCCCAGAAGTGCAGAGTTCTGACAGCAGGGAGCTGGAATATTTGGTGATCACTAAGCATTATCACATGTACCGAAAGTGGTGGCATTTGAGTTCAGACTTGCATTTAAATCTTGACCCTAGCCCTTATTAACTAACCTTCCAGAGCTCTAGTTTGTTATAAAGTAGGAATAACAGTATTTACCTAGTAGGAGGACTATAAAGATAAATAGGGAAGTTTAGTTACCACTTTAGCATATTGTACATACAGTATTTATGAGAATAATAGTTATTATTTGGTAAGGTTTTTTTAATCTATATGTCACCTGGAAAGGAGGTAAAACCATGACAGAGAGAGTATCTTCTGAACAAGTAGAACTGTCCAGGTGGTTCATAAAACACAGCCTTGGGACGCTGGAAGAGGGGAGGTTTCATTGCTGCCCTTGGTATTAGCATGTAGGACTTTTTAGTAGTTTGTAGAATATTATGAGACTAAGGAAATACCTGATAAAAGAAGTAAAAATTCTCAGAGTATTTGTTTTGCTTCCTACTAAATAATCTCAAAGTTTGACATTTATTTTCTATTTAGAATTTAGCTGTCAAGATTCTTTTTCTATTTTTTCCCTTTTTTGCCACCCACAACCCAGATTCTTGACTGACATACAGGTTGTCAGATTTGCTTTCGATACTCAATATATGCTGATAACATTTGTTATTTTGTTATCTTGTATATTATCTCTTGTAATTGCAGAAGTCAGATGTGACTTATTACAATTTTTTTCTTAATTTTATTCAGTCAAATACACATAGATCATGAATACATTCATGCATATGTGGGGTACAGTATGCTGATTTTTATTTTTTTATACAATCTGACATGGTTACATCAAACCAATCATCATAGCTTGCT